TTCCTTATGTAATAATAATAATTATAGTTACCTGACTATGGTGATGGACTCTTTTTTTCTGTAATTTATGGTTCTTTCCAGGTACTTTCTGCAGTCTTTTTATACATCATATAATGAATGTGTCTTGTTCTAAGTAAACGACCTCCTCCTTTCAGCCCAGAGAGCATATGTATACTTCCAGTGAAGTTACCTGAGTGTCCATTTCTATCATCAGTTGTCATATCTTTTCTAAAAGAAAATAAACATGTCTCTTTCTCTTTTACTGCCAGAAAGCCTCCCTAGTTCTTGTTCAGAACTTCAATTCAGACAAAACAGGCCCTGTTTGTGAATGGAGAAATTCCTTTATGTCCAGAGGGCCAGGACAAAACCTATGTGCCACTTAAGATCAATTTACATTACAGTCTGTGGACTGGAGAGTAAAGCTTATGTTGATCTTCTATGTAGAATAAAAAAGCAGGAATGAAGGAAAAAGTGTTTAGAGCTATTGTAAATCAGTTGGCTGGGATGTAGGTTGAGAGCTTTCTGCAAAAAAATAAAAGCATTATGCAGTGTAAGAAACACTTTTTGAAGATCCTTCCTGAGTTATAATTTAACTTTGGGTGATTTCCCAGTTCTTACTTATGAACATATAGCCATTTGTAAGAATCTATACTGGATATGTCTTGGCTTTTCCCTCAGCAACAGACTGACTTCAGTGGATCAGGGATTACTGAGAGGATAAAACGAGGCTCGACATGTGAGAAGATTCCCAGAACTGCTGACATTTTCAGTACTAGGTATAGGACAGGGTGTGGATTTCTTAGTAAGCAAAACTGGAAAAATGGACAATTAAACTTTATCATTTATGTTAAAATGGATTTGTATTGCAATAAAAGCCTGTTAAAAATGTTCAACCCTAGACAGGCTATGAAGGATGAAAATTAAAAACCCCCTTCAGTTCTGACATCCTATGTCAGGTTTTGGGTTTAGGTGTTTTTATGTGTCTATTTTTGCATATGTATCCAGACTGTTCAGTGATGCCCAGCGACAGGACGAGGAGCAATGGCCATAAACTAAAACACAAGCACTTCCACCCTAACATGAGGAAGAACTTTACACTGAGGCTGGCAGAGCACTGGAACAGCTGCCCAGGGAGGGTGTGGAGTCTCCCTCTCTGCAGACATTTCAAACCCACCTGGACACGTTCCTGCGTCACCTGTTCCAGGTGACCCTGCCTTGGCAGGGGGTTGGGCTGGATGGTCTCCAGAGGTCCCTTCCAACCCTGAATATTCTGTGCTTCTGTGATTTTCTAAGCCTGAACTGGTATTAATCAAGCCCCAGGCTAGCTGGCTGTTCCTCACTTCCATTCTCACATAAGCCACCTATTTTCTGTCTAAGGCTGTGAGTGGGGCTGCAGGTACAATAGTCTGCAAAGCTGCAGCTGAGACTGTCCCAGGGAGGCAGATAACCACAGTACACTCTGGTTATCCTGCTGAATGCTAAAAAAGAAATAATCAAATGATCACCCCAATAGAATCTTTGCATTTAGAAATATATAGAACTTGTGCAGCTGCAGTAGCTGACACCAGCTGTTAGAAGGGAAAGGCTGCAGGGTTCTGAGCCAGCTTCAAATGACCAGAGCATCTCACTGCAGGACAGTGCCAGTCAGAGCTACTGACCTTTAAACTGCCTCTGCTTTGGAGCTGACTCGAATATATGTCTACAAGGTATTGCTTCATTTTCAAATCTACTTTAGATCAGTGGGTTTGGTACTCTTCTTATGACAATGGTAGTTGTTCCAAGTTTGTGTCCCAGCTGACAGCAGTCAGGAATGCAGCATACCTATGAAAAACTCAAGGCAGTCTCACACTCCTTGCCACCCTTGACATGTTCAAGTAGTGAGCAGGTCTTGTGTCTGTACAACCTCAACTCTGCTGACACAACCACTGTAGTGTATTAAATATTCAATTCCATAGTATCATAGGCAAGGACAAAGTCATATTTTAACAGCACCTAGATTCACATCTTCTGTCATGACGCTTCCATGAACCATTCCTTGTGAATTGAGAAATCGTCTCTTGCTGAGCAGCTCCTTATTCTTGACTTAGTATTTAGTGCTGTATGCTGTGTGGAAGTACTGGAAGTATATGAATAACTACAGCTACAGGAATACCACCAAACTGATGTCAGCAAGTTTTATAGTAATTCTAAATGACTGTCCATCTGGGGGATACCCATGCCCTTTTAATTCCCATTTATACCATATCATTTTACAAGAGCAAAACAATTTTATTTACACCCATGTTCAGTAATTTACTAATAAAAATACGTTTCACAAAGGCACCAAACTATTTTGGTGCTAAAATGATTATGGATTTTTTTGGTCAGTCCTGACAGTTTTCGTTTTTAGGTATGTAACTGCAGCATATAAACCTTGCCATGATGCTACCTGAGCACTCACAAGTGAAAAAATAAAAGTTGTTGGTGTTCCACATTTTCCATCTGGACATTACTTTGCACTGTATTCATGTGGACTTTGCTGACAATTTGTTAAAGCTAAAGACTCTGCAAAAAAACCTAATAAACACTGTATGCAAATCGTGTGCAGAGTATAGCTTTAAATAATTTTAAACTTTGCTGGTGAATTCTATTATATGTAATGTTAAATACCTACTGTTGTTCAATAAGGGTAATCAGATAATTAATTCCAATTAAACCACATATTAGGGTGTGCAAATATTAGTTTATTATATTTACAATTTTAAAGTGTCTCTTAATCCTAAGATTTTTTTATGTACAATTTTCAGAAATTTGGAGCTTAGTTTGACTAATTTTCACTGAAACACAGCTTCAGTCAATGTGATGGACTGCACAATGCTGTTACACTAGTCTGAGTGCTAAGATGATGAGGAACTGCAAGAAGTTTGCAGTACAGTTATGTATGTCAAGAACCAAATTGGAAGAAAGCACTTCCTAAAACTTTAATGTGCCCAATTGTAAGGATGTACTCTGTGCATGTAATAAATCTGACACAAGTTCTTATGAAGGTAAAATATTGCAGTGCTGTAATATGGCATTTGTTCAAACCATGGTTTGCTGAGGTCGAAGGCAGAATTTTTTGTTACTTCCATTAATGCCTAGTGATGTCTTGACTTTTCTTTCTTTAATCTTGCAAATGTCAACAACTTTGCAACAATAAATTTCTCAATATAGTATTTTCTCTATTAATAGGGTTCAAACTTCTGCACAGTACTAGTAATCAACATTTATGTGTTCAATTACTTTGATCAGATTCTGCAAATGCTTAAACCTCTGTGTGTATTCTGATTGATGTCAACACATGTATTCAGATGTATAACATGGAGCACTTTTGGTAGCGTTCACCTGCATTGTCCTTCCAGAATTTCAGACAAGTGATACATAATAAATGATATTGCTCTCCTTCTAAAGTGTTTGATTAGATTTTAAGAAGGAAAATCTTTCATCCTGGCTATAAAAAAATGGTATCTGAGTTCAACTTTTTATAACTCAGCCTTGGTCCATGAGTTTTCAAAACTACTACTACTAAGGCTTCTTCCACAATAGAAGTAGGAAATTGTTAGATTTCCTGATTGTTAGAATTAAAATCATATTTGCATGTTGGCTCATTTAAAATGTTTCTGTAAAGCACTAAGGACTATTTTCCCTTTACTTGTAGCTGTTTATTAGTGTTTTTCTATTATATATTCTTTAAAATTATGAGGTCAGGAAACTGTCAGAGGAAACCATCTTAGCTATCAGATGGCTGTGAAAAGAAAACAGAACTTTTGCTGACATAAAACTTTAAGTTGCATTATTAAGGATTTTTTTTTAGAGCTTATGAAATAATTTTGGCAAAATTCCTCTCGGGTGATGCTATTCTGAAAGATGAGTGAAAAGAAGGAAGTGTGTTAAAATAAGTATTTGAGATTATTTTAGTGGAAGTTTTATGTCAAAATAATCTGAGAACCTGTCATAAAATCCTGTAAAAGCTAATTTTCCATTGCTGTATTCACATAGTAATCATAAATGGCTCTGTAAGGATCAGAGATACCTCACATTTGTCTTACTCCCAACAACCAGGTATCCCTCAAGGTAGGCTCACCAAGTTTTATTTCACTTTCATTTTCAAACATTTTAACTTTCTTTTCACAGGAATTCTTTACAAAGCCCTTTTTTTGTGTGTGAAAAAAAGTAATCCAAAATACAGCAACTTTTAATTTCCCTGGGCGATCATTTGGCCTTTTATTTGGCTTAGAAGTAAGATTCTACCACTGCAGCTACAAAGTCTGATTTTTCTTAAACAAAACCGAAAAGCAAACAGAAAGAACACACTTGTCATTATGGTAGTGTCCAGGTAAAAGGAGGGAAGAATCAAGAAGGTAAATTTGAATGAGACGCCTGTGTTGACCCAGCATTAAGAGTAGCAAAGAGAGTGGGCACTAACTTCTCGAAGGTATCAATGACAACATGGCCTATGCAGCTGTGAGGAACAGTGTTGCTGCTGGAAAGGCCAGGTACTTAGCAATGCAGTGCTGTTTTCTCATCTAACCTGTTAAATGCACAGTCCACACAGTTTTGCAGGAATGTCTGATTCAGCGCAGTGCTTGTCACCGCAGCAATGCTCCCGCCCTCCACTTTCTGCTCATCCATGAACTCCTTCTTCCTCTGCTCTT